GCTCTCGCTGTCGGGGCTGCGAGGCAGGCGACGGCACCGATCGTCTGGGATCGCCTCTCAGTGAGATGAAGAACGCGATACCGGTCAGTTGAAAAAAAAAAATGGTTAAAATGATAAATGTCATACATTTCATCACAAAATCTTTTTTAAAAATCAAATAATTTAACAAAATATGTGTAAGACATACACTAAAAACTATAAAACTTTATTAAGGGGAATAAAAAGAATAATAGAGAATAATAGAGAACTGTCCTTTGTTTATGGAATTTACCCCTCATTGGTACATAGAGATCTTCCTCATTCTTTTTTATTGTGTGGATGCATTATAATCTATTCAATCTGTCCTATATTAATGTATATTTGCCTTTTCCCAAGTACTTTGCTATTATCAATAATTTCACAATAACCTTATACATACATTATCTTGTATGTTGGAATTGTGTCTTTGTGCAGATTCCTATTGGAATGGTTCAGTCATACTCATATTTAGTTTTGTTAGATGTTGCCCAATTTCCCTCCTTAGGAGTCTCACAAAATTGCACTCCTACCAGAAATGTATACGAATGTCTATTGCTCCACAGTCATGGTAACACAGAATTTTATCAAACTCTTTGATTTTTGTCAGTAAGCATTTTAAAATATGCTTAAAGTGGTTTGATTTTTTTGCTGATCAGTGTGCTGTCTATCATAATTAGCTATATTAATTATTTTTTTTTTTTTTTTTGAGATGGAGTCTTGCTCTGTCGCCCAGGCTGGAGTACAGTGCTGCCATATCAGCTCACTGCAACTTCCGCCTTCCAGGTTCAAGTGATTCTCCTGTCTCAGTCTCCTGAGTAGCTGGGATTACAGGCGTCTGCGACCACGCCCACCTAACTTTTTTTTTGTATTTTTAGTGGAGACAGGGTTTCACCATGTTGGCCAGGCTGATCTTGAACTCCTGACCTCAGGTGATCCACTTGCTTCAGCCTCCCAAAGTTCTAGGATTACAGGCATGAGACACCATGCCCGGCCTGCTGATACATATACAATTTTTTTATTTTTTTTTTGAGACGAAGTCTCACTCTGTTGCCCAAGCTGGAGTGCAGTGGCGAGATCTCAGCTTACTGCAACCTCTACCTCTTGGGTTCAAGCAATTCTCCTGCCTCAGCCTCCCAAGCTGCTGGGACCACAGGCATGTACCACCATGCCCAGCTAATTTTTGTATTTTTAGTAGAGATGGGGTTTCACTATTTTGGCCAGGCTGGTCTTGAACTCCTGATCTCATGATCCGCCCGCCTTGGCCTCTTGAAGTGCTGCGATTACAGGCGTGAGCCACCATGCTCAGCCTAGAAACTGTCTTTTGAGCAACTATGCCTGCTTGCTGCCCATATAAAGTTGGGGGTCCAGGGTTTTTTTTAACATTTAGTCCCTTTTAATCCTGGATAATGCCATTAGTATAGCTTCCTAAAATATACTGTGGGTTTTATGTGTCTTATTTGAGTCTACGTACCAAAAGCCCACTCACAATTATTTTTGAGATAGCACCCTATGGGTTCTATGGGTTTAATCACTGATATGCCAGGTGTGTGAGGCTGCTGTGGGACAACAATCTTATGATTCCTAGAAGAGTCATAAGTTCCTAGGGACTACAGGCTCCTGCCACCATGCCTGGCTAATTTTTGTATTTTTTTGTAGAGATGGGGTTTCACCACGTTGGCCAAGCTGGTCTCGAACTCCTGAGCTCAAGCGATCCACCTGCCTCAGCCTCCCAAAGTGCTGGGATTACAGGTGTGAGTCATCACGCTTGCCCTAGAGGAGTATTCTTTATTATCAAGGTAGAAAGTTCAACATATATTCATTAGATCTACTTTATAGATACTGTTATTTAGATCACTTATATCCTTAAATGTATTTTTTGTCTCCTTAACTTCAGTCTTGGGTGAGACAGAGGTGTTTTAAAGTTCTCTGTTATTTCTAGGTTTCTATTCATTTTTCCTTGCATAATTTGTTATGCAAATGTTATGTGCTTTAACAAGGTAGAAGTAACACAATGGAAACAATGAAAAACGAGGGAGAGAGAAAGAGGAAAGTACAAAGAGTTCTTTGTTGTACAGGCAATAGGTGGGAGCCAAAGAATATCATTTAAAGTTGACAAACCAGATAATTGAAGCTGTAACACTCATAAGTAGTATATCCTCATTGTGACTTGTGGCTTTTAGCATTTTAATGTATCCTTCATTGTCTTGTCTATTTTTTCCTGAATTCTACCTTTTCAGATATGGATACTGTAATCTTTGTCTTCTGTGGTCCTACTTGCCCGGTCTATTTTTGCCCATCTCTTTTTATTTAGCTTCTCTGAATCACTTATTTTAGATGTGTCTCTTATAAATAACAGACAATAAGACATTGGTTTGTAAGCCAATCTGATATTCCTTTTAATAGATAAGTCCTTTCACATGTACTGATTTAACTTACATGCTTGGACTTAATATATTTACTGTATGATGGCATGTTTTCACTGTAATCTACTGCCTTTTTTCACTGTATGTTTTTCACTGTAATCTACTGCCTTTATTATTATTTCTTTGAGCATTGATGGAGATTTAAATTTTTATTCTAGTAATTATACTATGTATTCTATACTATTACTTTAAATAGTATAGTACACCTTTAATGCTCTAAATCTTCTTTTCCTTACTTACACTTCATATACTTGTTTTGTCAACTTTAAATAATGCTCTTTGACTTCTACATATTGCCTAAGCAACAAGGAGTTCTTTGTACTTTCCTCTTCCTCTCTCCCTTCTTTTTTGTTACTTCTGTCTTGTCAAAGCATATACCATTTGATACTATTTCATGTGATTAGAACTTGTGTCCCCACCCAAATCTCATCTTGAATTGTAATCTCCAGGTGTTGAGGGTGAGACCTGGTGGGAGGTAACTGGATCATGGGGGTGGTTTCTCCCATGCTGTTCTCATGATAGTAAGTTCTCACGAGAGCCGATGGTTTTATAAGAGTTTTCCCTGCTTGCTCTCTTGTGCGTTCATGCTCTTTTTTGCCACCATGCGAAGGTCCTTGCTTCCCCTTCACCTTCTGCCATGATTGTAGGTTTCCTTAGGCCTCCCCAGCATGTGGAACTCTGAGTCAATTAAACCTCTTTTCTTTATAAAGTACCCAGTCTTGAGTACTATCTTTATTTATTTTTTATTTTTTTGAGACAGAGTCTCACTGTCACCCAGGCTGGAGTGAAGTGGCACGATCTCGGCTCACTGCAATCTCTGCCCCTAGGTTCAAGCAATTCTCATGCCTCAGCCTCCTGAGTAGCTGAGATTACAGGGGTGCACCACCATACCCAGCTAATTTTTGTATTTTTAGTAAAGACGGGATTTCACCATGTTGGCCAGTCTGGTCTCAAACTCCTGACCTCAGGTGATCTTTCTGCCTCGGCCTCCCTAAGTGCTGGGATTACAGACATGAGCCACCATGCCCGGCTGGGTACTATCTTTATAGCAGTGTGAAAATAGACTAACACTGTTCTTCCACCCTTATCCCCACTTCCATTTGGTCTCAGGTCTACAACCAAAGATATTCAATGGTCACGTCCAGTCCTTTTGCTCATTTCCCCAATCATCTCCTAGTTGGATGAAGCTTGTCTTTTAGTAGAATTCTAAGGAAGAAGTCGTGGGTACAATAGTCCCTGGGTTCTTGTGTAATTAAAACTTCTTCCTATATCCTTGATACTTAAAGGAGAGCTTGGCGAAATATGAAATCCTCAGTTCATACTTTCTTTGAGTTTCTTGAAAAGGTTGCCCCATTGCTATCTCGCTTTGTTAAGAAGCCTGATGCCAACCAGATCTTTCCTTTGTAAGAGACTAGGTCTTTTGGCCTACAGGCTTACATAGTTCTTTTCCTTTGGCTTCAAAGTATAGTTGGTAGGATATGTCTCAGAGCTCATCATTCTGGGTCAATATTCGAAGTAACAAGATAGACCCTTTCAAGATAAAGTTTCAGGTTTTCTTTTGTTTTCAGAAAGTTCTTTTGGGTTTGAGTTTTAATATTTGAATTTTAAATATTAACTCTATTCCACTGTCTTATCTTTTGTCTTCATGAGTTCCAATTTTACCTGTATCATCTTTTCTTTGCCAATCTTCTTTATCTATCATTTTATTTCTGGGTCTTTTTGGCTCTTCCTTTAATATTGCTTTGTTTGTTTTGTTTCTCTTAGCTTTTCCTACTCCTACCTTCTACGTGCCTTAATGTACTTGTGACCATATCTATTTTCATTAAGATATAGTATAATTTAGTATTCATATCTGTGATGACTTATCTTTTTGTTCAAATTATTTCCCAAGTTCAGTCAGTTCTCTTCTCATGTATGCTTGTAGCTTTTTCATTTTTATTCTGAGGTTTTGAATCTCTGATCTCTGGTGTCCTTTTATATCCACAATTATTTAATTTATTTTCAAATTCATGTTGAAGTGTTTTGTTACAGTTTACTGTTTCATGGTCCAAGACAGCCTTTTTCTGCTGGCCAATAATGTAAAATGTCTTTAAAAAGTAACATCTAGGGGGAGTTGTCTGTCTTCTTTGGAATCTTGGCCTTGCTGTCGTATCTAACAGGCCGTTATCTTTAACCTCTTGCTTCCTTTGCCCCCTTTCGTCCACCATGCCTCCAAAGGACACCACTCCCTTTCAAGATGGCTTCATCTCCATCAGAAGTGATGCCTTTGATCCCACTCATTTTCTAAGCCCCTTCCTTTTAACTTCCCACTAGCTACTGCTCTGATCCACCAAGTCTTAAACCTATCTGCAGGATTTTGTCACTCTGGGTGAGAACATGAGTATTTTGATTTAGCTGGAGTCCTGAACTCAGTAAAGACCTGGGGCAGAAGAAAAATCTGGAAGAGTCTGCAGGAGTCAGATCATAGAGGACTTTCTGTGGAGGCTTTTGCAATAATTTGAGCAAGGAATAGAGAGGTATAAAGTAAAACAGGAGGGATAAAGAGGAAGGAAAAAGGAACTCACTATACAAATATAGGAAGAAAACTCAAAGTGAGAATCACAACTTTTCAGCTGATGAAATACTCCAAAATAAAAAAGAAATCCAGAATTTGGGAAATTCTTCCAGAGAAATGACACAACTTCTTCAACAAGTGGACTGCAAGAAGAGAGAGGGAATGAGGGAGAAAAAGAGAGAGAAGTTCTAAACTGTGCCACTTGGGAGATGGTCCCTCTCAGTGATCTGTGGGCACAGCTACAAGGAGGGCACAGGAAGCACGTCCACCAGGCCCACCGTTTGGGTGGGAGGTTGTGAATTATGCCAGGTGAGTTTGGGGAGGGAGGAGATGAAGGAGGGGGAGAGAACAGATGGTGAAAGGAGAGAATGGGGACAGCATGGAGAGGGTGAGCATAGGGCAAATAATAGAGGCTCTGGGAGGCACCTCAGACAGCTGAAACAAGGAGGGCAGGGTGTGGGAGAGAAGAGGCTGTGGGGTTTGGATTGGGGGAGAGGATGGAAGGTAGGATCAAGATATGGGGTGGGGGCGGCTGTGGGTCATGGTTTGGGGAGGAGTGGGCAGAGAGTCAGGGTTGGAGAAAGAGACAGGATGAGGTTAGGGGGTGAGACAGGGCTTTGTCTCCCCCATTCTGCTAATTTGAGTTCCTAGATTAGCTTTAATTCTGCCTCTACAAGGGGAAAAGTCATAGTTTTTATCGGATATATCCCAGTCTCAGTGTTGTCCTGCCTCCTGGGATAAAAGACAGGAAAAGAGAGATGTTTTCCTGCCCTGGGGCACACGGGCACATGGGCACAAGGACACGAGTGCCTATCTATCTTCAGGCAGATGTGCTGAGGACGGCTTTAAAATGGTCCTGGACACTCCAAGGAGTCAGCAGAGGCAGGAAGAGCTGTTCAGAACAGGGAAGTGGATCCCTGCTGTCCGGGGCCATGTCTCCAAGTGGGGTCAGTAAATCTGGGCAGGCAGGGGCAACAGGGATGCCTGTTCACTCCAGAGGCCCCCGGATCTGAGACAAGATTCTCTGCTCGAGTTTGGCGTACTGGGGGAGGAGGGCCTCATAGACCTAGAAGAGCAGAAAAAGCGGTTTAGAACAGGGAGAGGGGAAATGCCTCTTACATCTGGTTGCACTTTGCAATTTAAAATTTTTAAATTTTGTGTACCTGCAATTTAACTTTTTTGCTGGGCAAAAGAGAGCAAGCATCAATTCACAAAAGAGGGAATGCTAGGAGTTCTCAAATCTGTAGTTTAAGATATTTTTAAACTATAAATTATGACAAGAAACTAATTTTTATGATCAAATCTACAAAAGTTTTTAAAAATTCTGGTGAGAGTACCTAGAAATGGCTGCCTCATTGCACAGCTGGTGAAAGTTGGTAATACAACTCTTTGGGAAATAGACTTGACTTTATATCTGTATTAAGGAGCCCATAGTGTGGGACCCAGTTATTCTACTTTGGTGAAGCTCTCCTAAGGAAATAATCCTAAACGTAGGATGCCAAGTCCGCCAAGGGTCTTCTTTGATACCATTGAACATTCAGACGTATAAGACCACCATGAGCCAAGGGAAGACAGCCTGGAGAAACACAGTGGCGGCAGGTGCTCCTCTCAATGGAAGACCATGTAGCAGTTGATACAGCAGTTCACACAGCTGTACAGAAGAGGGTCTCTTTGTCTCCCAACCAGGTTACAGTCCAGGCAGAAAGAGCTGAGATCTGGCCGTGTGTGGTGGCTCATGCCTGTAATCCCAGCACTTTGGGAGGCCAAGGCGGGTGGATCACCTGAGGTCAGGAGTTCAAGACCAGCCTGACCAACCTGGTGAAACCCCGTCTCTACTAAAAATATAAAAATTAGCTGGGCGTGGTGGCAGGCGCCTGTAATCCCAGCTACTCGAGAGGCTGAGGCAGGAGAATCACTTGAACCCAGGAGGATGAGGTTTCAGTGAGCTGAGATCGCACCACCGCATTCCAGACTGGGTGACAGAGTGAGACTCCATCTCAAAAAAAAAGAGTTGAGATCCACATCATACAGACGAAAGAATGACCCTGGCTTCAAAACCTCATATGCCCTACAAAAGTATCTCCTGTAACAGCTTAGTAGGTAGGAGGCATGTCCAGGAAGAGTCACTGTACTCAAGGAGGCCCTGAGGAAGACTTCTCACCAGGTAGTTACAGTTTTCTCAGTTCAGATGCAGTTTCCCAAGCAAAGGCCATTTTTACAAAAGCAACGTTGTCTAGTAAAACTGTTGATATTCCACTTTTATGAGATCTCAAGGAAAACAGCTAGAAAGTTAACCAAAGGTTAAATTCGCATGTAGAATAGGAAAGTTTTTTTTTTAATCCTTTATCTAAGAAGAGTTAATTATAATTGAAAAACTAAAAGCAACTGTGCTAAGGCATGGAAAATGCTCAAGTAAATTGTGGTTCTGGCGAAAAATTTGCCAGACTTTTTTTTTTGTTTTTGTAGCGATGAGGCTGGTCTCCAACTCCTGGCCTCAAGTGATCCTCCCGCCTCAGCCTCCCATAGTGCTGGGACTATAGGTATGAGCCATCGTGCCTGGTCGACCCAGATAGAATATTATACAGTCATTAAAAATGGTATGCACATACATTTTTAAGAATGAAATATTTATGTTGTAATGTAGAAATTTTAAAGAAGCTACAAAATTATATATACAGTGTGCTTCCTTATAAGCCAAAACAAACAAAAAGCCCAACAGAGAAAAAAGACCAAAAAGAAACACAAGCCCACATTCTTACCCTTCTTTTAACCCCCTAAGCAGTTTTCCCTGTGGCTGTCCATCTTACCTGAGAAATGCAGATGCACTTCAGGCGAGCACACGCTGTCTCACAGACAAACAACACTGAAGACCAAGGACCTGGATTTTCCTGGGACTCGCAAGTAAACATAAGCAGGAGCTCATGCCAACCCCATTCCTTCTTAATTTGGTTTAATTTGCTCCAGAGTTAAGTTGTGTTTTTTTAATTCTTGAGACAGGGTCTCGCTCTGTTACCCAGGTTGGAGGTGCAGTGGTGCAATCTTGATTCACTGCAGCTTCTACCTCCTAGTTTCAAGCGATTCTCATGCCTCAACCTCTCGAGTAGCTGGGACTACAGGTGTGCACCACCACACCCGGTTAATTTTTGTGTTTTTTTCTTTTTTAGTAGAGACGGGTTTTCACCATGTTGGCCAGGCTGGTCTGTAACTCCTGACCTCAGGTGATCCATCCGCCTCGGCCTCTGAAAGTGCTGGGATTAGAGGCGTGAGTCACCACGCCCAGCTGGAAGTCAAGCATTTTAACAACTCATTATGCGACTGGGGCCTACTCGTGGTGCAGCTGCAGCAGCTCTGTCTGCGAAGGCTCAGGGACAGTTACACGGGGTGTCAGAGCCAGAGAGAGGGAGCCTGCTGGCTTCTAAGTCCACGATGAGTCTGTGCTGCCTAGAAGGGCTTAGGGGGATAAATTTCTTTGCTCTTCCAAATGAGGGTGACACAGCTGATGTTCTGGTTCTACCCTGTGAACTATGTGTTTGTGAAGTACTTGGGAATAGACCCCATGAGTAAACTAAAGCAAAAGATAACAGGTGACCCTTTATAAGGAGGCCCACAGGCGAGGAGCCTAAGGTTGTCCTAGCCTGTACTGGACATTAAGAAGTCAGAGAACAAAGGTAAGGGGCTTTGATTTCTCCCCATGGGGAAAACTGCAACGTTCAGCTGAGCCAAGGGAGAAAACATTCTTACTGCTTTGAGTTTCCGCTTGAGCACAAGCAGTGCTGTAGGTGCCACAGAAAGAATGAAGGATGTGGCCCTGCTCTCAAGGAGTTTAACTCTAGTCCACAAATGCAGTCTGCATATAAGTCGTGTATGCTGACAATCACGTAGACTGTCACTACTGCAACCCGCTGTTGGGAGGGCTTTTGAGGATTTGGATCCAGCGGTAAAGGGTTCCATGAGTTGTCAGTGATTTCGGCCATGGGCAGGCCAGGGAGAGTGATGAGGCACTCTCATCAGCTCAGGGGACACAGCTCCGAGGATTTGCCACTCCATACTCTACATGAGGCAGATGCTGCTGTGCTGCCCTAAAACTTTCCCTAATTACCTTCCTCCTTGCTGGCCTCCTTCCAGATAGAATGAAACAGCCAGACCCTACCCTAGCCTTTCCTACAATCAGAATTGACCATATATGACCAAGTGGTAGCCTGTTGGGGGTATGTGGGGTAGGGGAAGGATAGGCCAGTATTTTTCTCCCTGATGAGCAAGAGGTGTGTGAGGAGAGGCTCTCTGTCCAATGTCACCTATATCCCTGCCTTTGAACACAGCTGTGAAGACATGATGTTTGGGGCAGCTACAGCCATCCTCCCACCATGTGAGCACATCCAGAGCTGCACTATCCAGCACAGTAGCCACAAGCCATGTACACCTTTGCATACTTGAAGCATGCCCAGAACTGTAAGTATTAAATGCACACCAAATTTCAAAAGCTTCATGCAAAAAAGGAAATGTAAAATATCATATTTGTAACTTTTTTTTTTTTTTGAGACAGGGTCTCTGTCGCCCAGGCTGGAGTGCAGTGGTGTGATCTTGGCTTACTGCAACCTCCACCTCCTGGGCTCAAGTGATGCTCCCACCTCAGCCTCCAGAGTAGCTGGGATTACAGGCATGCACCACCACACCCAGCTAATTTTTTTATTTTTTGTAGAGACGGGGTTTTTGCCATGCTGCCCAGGCTGCTCTTGAACTCCTGGGCTCAAGCAATCTGCCCACCTCGGCCTCCCAAAGTGCTGGGATTACAGGTGTGAGCCACTGCGTCCAGCCCCACATTAGTAACTTTTCTATTTATTACATGTTGACATGACAATACTTCAGATATAGTGGATTAAATAAAATGTATTATTAAAATTAATTTTAATCATTTCTTTTTATTTTTACTTTTAAAAATGAGGCAACCAGAATATTTTAAATGACATACGTGGCTCACATTATGTTCCCATTGTCCACTGCTGACCTGAGGAATTGCAGGGAACATGACCAGAGTTCTCATGTTGAACTACTGAAACAATTCTACCTCCAGATTTCCTGTTAGACTATAATGCCATTTCGGTCAAGGATTGTTTTTAAGCCTCACAATTAGTAGGTGAAAGGGAGGCAGGACAGATGTTGTACCCACTTCACAGATAAAAAACAAAGGTCTAGAGACAAGGAGTGCTGCTTTAGGTCTCATGGTGAAGGAGACGCAGAATAAAAATCAGAACTTAAGTGCCCTTTATCTCGACATCGAATCTTTTCAGTGTATCGAGTGGCCTCTCACACACAACAGAAAAATTACAGATGCTTGGGCACACCTGTGTGTGTGGTTTGTCTGGTCTCCTAGACAGCATGAGTTCCTACTTCCAAGATATGCTGGGAGACAATTCTCCATGGTGTTTCTACATGTCTTGTGACAGCTTTCGTTTCAGACTATCTTTTCAAGGATGTTTGTAAAGCATAGAGACATATAGATAGTGTCTCCAGGGCAGAGACACTGGAGAGAGTGTTTGTCTGTTTGCTGACAAGAATAATAAGGATAATGTCTCCTTTGGTGGCAAAGTTTGGGCAGGTTTGCTCGCAGTTCCTTTACAAGGTTGGGAGTTTTCTATGCTCGGGATCATTTGGTTGTATCACAGCCTATTATGTGCACAGTATCCACCTGGGCCCACTTTGCATCACCCTGTGGAATTTGGAGGCCAAGGGAAACTGATGCAAGCATGAAGGCTCATGCTTCCTGATGAACCGTGAGTTCATCATAATAAAGCCCTTTGTCTCTGATCCAGGAGTCCTGTGTCTTCTGCCTGCCGCTACAAAACTGGCAGGCTCACCTGTTAGCTTGCAAGTCAGGTAAATGTCAGAGCCTTCACAGTTCCTTACAAGATGCACCCACCCCTGCTGCTGGGCTGCCAGACCCTTCTGCAAACAGGTACAGTGGTGTGGTGGATGCTGTGGTGTACCATTCAGATTCACCTCAGGAACGAAGAACTTATTCTCCCAACTGCTGGGAATGCTGTTGGCAGACAGCCCTCGGCTGCCCGCTTTGGAGATTGCTTTCGCTATAAAGAGCTGCCTCACCCCCTCCTGGGGTGGCCCACATGTGATGACTGATCAACATGGGGTATAAAGGCCCAGCCCCTTAGCGCAACTGGATAAAACTCTAAAGGTCACCTCAGCTTCAGAGCTTTCTGTAGGAATAGCTTAGGCTCCAGAAATTGCACTGCCGCTCACCTTCTCCCTCTGTCCAATCCTGTCTACTCCCTTTCCTTTCTACAGTCGGGGATTCCAAGAGCAACTCCTCCCACTCCCATAAACCTCATATATCTTAGTTGACATCTCAGACTCTGCTTTCTGAGGAACCCAACCTGCAACAAGTGAGGTCTGCCTTCACAGGGGTTTCCTGGCCTGGGTGACTGCACAGCTATCTTGGGTCTAGACTTGAGATTTGAGTGCTAGAAATCCAGCATGTCTTGAGTTTCAGTGACAGATCCTTTCAGTAGCTTTTATAGCCCAGTGACATGGAAGGGCCCACCGTGAGGCATACGAAGCAATAAAAATATGCCCAGCAATCCATCTGACCCTGGCTGTAAAATCAGCAGCATCTGTGACTTGCAGCAGACAACCTGGCTCTTTTGCTCCATTTTCTTGATAATTTCAATAAAGCAGAATTTCTCCTTTAGTTGAGCACATCAAGTTCAATGTAGGTGACCTGTTGGTGGGGGAAAAACCCTAGCGAGCTTTCATAATGCAAATGTTATAAACAAATTCTGACGGTCTCTCACCTGAGAAGCTCCCAGGCTTGGGGTAGCAGCTAGTCTGGGATTTGGAGCTAACTTCACAACCTCTGAAAAGGGCACATCTCTTCCACCTGCAAGACCTAGAAGGGAAAACTCACTTCATGTTAGTGCATGTTGCAAATGAAAACTAACCATAAACACCATGAAGGATCTCACTGGGGTGGCAAACTCTTCTAAAACTGGATTATAGTGACGGTTGCACAATTCAGTACATTTATGAAAAATCAATGAATTGGACACTTAAAATGGATGATTTTTATGTCATATAGATTGTACCTCAATAAAATTACAACACAAAACAAAAAAATGCCAAGCGCAGGCTTGTCTCCAGCAGGACCTAGCTTGTCTTGCTCTTTGTGGTTGTGCCTTTCATGGAATGGGCCAGGTAACCTCGACATATGATGGGGAAGGGTCTGCCTGCCCCTCCTCTCTCCCCTCGTTCACCACATTCTGGACAGCCTGGTCTCCTCTCCACTCATGCTGCCTCAGAGCCTCTTCACTGTGCGGAATGTTCTTTCCACTCTTCACACGCCCGTTCCCTTCTCCTCAGCTAAGATGCACCTAGGACCATCACTTGTTCAGGAGGCGCTCCTTAGCCCTCAGCACCATCTGCTTTTCCTCAGAGCACTTTTCCCAACTTGTGCCATATGTTTCAGTGAGTATTGGCTTAAGATCCCTCTTTGGCTGAGGTGTCTCTCTGGGTCACCACTATAACCACGGTGCCTAGCACATCATCTGGCATACAGAAGGGACTCAATAATTACTCACCAAGCAAATGAGTAGCAGGGGGAAGGTTGCCATTGGTGGGCAAGAAACAATGAGCAATTTCTAGGCAAGGTAAGTAGTAGCATCAGATAGACAGAGAAATACACCACCACCAGGAGTGAAGAAGGGCCCTCTGAAGACGTGAGGAGCAGTTTTCCTAACCAAATGCTAGAAAATTCCAGCTCAGAGCAGAATGGATGTGGGACTGGGATGGTGGTGGGGTGGACAGCAAGAGAAGACTCTAGTCCCATCTCCACTCATACTCGCAGACGCTACACAAGACAGTCATCCCCAGGCCCAGCTGGGGAGAAGAGATCTCTAAATGAAGCGGTTAGTAACCCTCTGGGTGGGGACCAGTGAGCTAAGATTTGGCTCAGGCTTTGGTTTTGGAGGGCAGAGCAGGGCAGTGGCCCAGGTACCCTTTGGCAAGCACAGAAAGGGAAAAAGAACAAAACAAAACACAGTGCAGGATAGCAGTGAAGTCCCTAAAGGGCAACTCCTTTCCCACTTCCACAAAATAATTATGAAGTGGACCCCATACTTCTATTCAGCCACCCTGAAGGCCAGAAGATTATGGAAGAGTATCTTCAAAGTTCTCAGGAAAAGTATTTTGAACATAGAGTCTTTTACCCAGGCAGTCTTTGGAAGGATGAAACAAAGGCCTTGCTGGACATGTCAGGCCTCAAAACCATCACCTATTGAATTCTCTCTTACAATATTTATTTAGGTTGTATATTCCAACAAAACTACCACACAGCTTGGATGTGGTAATCGTAGCACTAGGATTCATGCCTGTAATCCTAGCACTTTGGGAGGTTGAGGTGGGTGGATCACTTGAGCCTAGGAGTTTGGGTTCAGCCTGGGCAACATGGCCAAACCCTATCTCTACAAAAATTAGGCACGTGTGGTGGTGTGTGCCTGTAGTCCCAGCTACCTGGGAGGCTGAGGTGGGGGTGGGAAGATCACGTGAGCCTAGGAGGTGGAGGCTGCAGTGAGCCATGACTACACCACTGCACTCCAGGCTGGACAACAGAGACCATGTCTCAAACAAAACAAAACAAAACCTCAGCATAGAAATAAAGGAGAAAGAAGAAGTTTTTTGTTTGTTTGTTTCTTTTTTTTTTTGAGACGGAGTCTTGCTCTGTCGCCAGGCCGGAGTGCAGTGGCGTGATCTTGGCTCACTGCAACAGCTCACTACAGCCTCCACCTCCTGGGTTCAAGCTATTCCCTTGCCTCAGCCTCCCGAGTAGCTGGGACTACAGGCATGTGCCACCATGCCCAGCTAATTTTTTTTTTTTTTTGTATTTTAGTAGAGATGGGGTTTCACCCTGTTGGCCAGGATGATCTCGATCTCCTGACCTTATAATCTGCCCATCTTGGCCTCCCAAAGTGCTGGGATTATAGGTGTGAGCCACTGCGCCTGACTGAAATGTCAGGAAGTTTAAAAAAAAAGAAAAAAGGGACACAGGAAAAGAACACAGGCATGGTGAGGCACGTGGGCATGGGTCTGGACAGCTAGAGAGCAGGAGAGGTGGACAAAGTCCAGGGCGTCTTTTTCAGCAAGAACAGAAAGTTGAAACAAAGGGGAAGACTTCAGGCCCAAGCAGTCAGGACCTGGGACAGCCATGGAGCCTGTTGCCCTGATGGA